CACATGTAGCATCTTTTTAAAAAAGTTTATCTATAGCAATTAAAATTTCAGCAAGTCATCAACCAAGGTATTTATAAAACAACCAGTTTTACAAGTTTTGAAATTTGGGGATTATACTGGATTCTGGTTTGACCAGCTACTGTCAAACATTTTGTTCTGGGGAACTAAAAGGCAACCATTTGTGGACCACTTCCCCTTCCAATCCCTGCTGTCTTTTCAAACTATTTAATTCTCAGTCCACCAGCAAAGACTCTCTGGATGAGATTTTGTGTTGCAGTCCTAAGAGATGCAGCACAGAACTTGCAGTCCAAGGGAAGGGAAGGAAATAAGTGACTAAGAAGCCACCTTTTTGCCCTCCCAAAGGGCTCTGGGGACCACAAAACTCAGACAGCCCCAAAGAGCTGTCCATATTATAGCCACACTGCTGCCCAGAGTCACCACAATACCATGTGCTGTGGCCCTGCCTATCCCTAACTTCATCCCTTATACCAGAGCCTGTGAGGGAGGTCCTTAGAAGACAGCCTATGGCTGCTTTCCTCAGTTCCTATGTCAGGAGAATTCTCCCCAGCCCTTTACACTAACTGGTACAGCACGCCAGCTGGACTAGTAGGACTAACACAGGCACAAAGGAAGAGGCAGAATAGACTGGCTAAAAACACTGTCCTTTCAAAAACGTCCCTCTCTTTTTCTGTAGGCCTTATCTCGAAAGGAAGAGTAGGAGGAAAGTGGCATGGTAACTAATGAAGTGGAGAGGGAGTCAGAGGGTATGTCGATATCATTGGGAATCAGACTGTGTCTGGAATGACAGGAGTAGATTAGCAGGAGTTTCCCAACCAGCTCGAGCAAAAGCAGTTTTTCTTACAATATTAAAAACTTCTCATAAAACTGAGATGTAGTTTCTAAAGCAACTCAAACCACAGTGCACTCAAGGTCTTATATTGTTTTGGGGGAAAACAGCAAATTTTATGGAAAGTCTCTAATTCTATCAATGTTTATGTGATCATTGTGAAAAATGGCTGCTGTTCATCAGATCTGAATTAAAATGCATACAAAGGAGAAAACATAACCACACAGAAAATGGGAGAAGAATTTAAAACTGAAAGATGGAGATGGGTGGGCAATTAAAACAGTTAATTTATCTGTGTTTTGCAGGTGAAAATTCTGAAGATGTTACTCATCAAAATGAGGGCAGGTTTAAACAAGATTATATCATGGATGGATATCATGGGGATAGATCACTTGATGATTACCTGTTCTACTCATTCCCTCTGAAGCACCTGGCATTAGCCACTGTCAGAAGACAGGATATGGGCTAGATGGACCATTGGACTGACACAACATGGGCATTCTTATGTTCTTATTAGGGCCAGTCATTAGGAATTTCCATTCCGTTCAAAATTCAAACATTTCAAATTTTTCTTCAATCCAAATTGGAACAAGAAAACCAAAACTTCAAAATATCCTTCAGAACTGGAATTCCAAAATTTCATTTGAGAAAAAAAAAAGAAACATTTTTGTTTTGACATGGCTGAAATAATTTCATTTCAGCATTACTGATATCATTTTTAATGTCATTATCTATATTATAAATTTATAACAGAATATAAAAATCAGAATGTTTCAATTTCTATACCAGTCTATGTCTGTCATAATATAGTCAAAATATTTCAGCTTTTATATTACAAAAAATATAATATTGTATTTATATTATTTTTATATTAGGGTTTAAGAATTATTTTTAAATTATAAAATTAAAAAAATGACGATTAATAATGGTAAAGTTACTGTGTAATTGGTATAATATACAAATGATATATGTCATGTTGGTGAGGTGGGCAGCCAGAAAGCCACCCATACAGTTATGGAGCCCACCTGCCTGTCTGCTGGGAGCAGGAAAGCTTTCTAGCATGCCTGGCTTAGTGCCCACAGCAATCTGGGAACCCCGCCCTCTTGCCAACTAGGCATGCAGCCAGGAAGCAGGCAGAACAGACAGTATGTCTGATTTCCTGCCAGCCTACTTGGCTGGCAGGTGGGCTAGCAGGAAATCAGCAAAGCAGGCAGGCAAGCTTAGCCAGCCAGCCAGCCTGCCTGACAGCAAAACACTTTGATTCCATCAAACTAGCATTTTCTGATGGAAAACTGTTCCGTCAGAAAAATTTCAACAAGCTCTATTTATCATGTTTGAAAAGAGCTGTGGACAAGTGACTTCGGTGACATGGTGCCGTCTAAAACTTTACAGTCAACGCAGTCTGGGACAAACGGTGTTCGGTGTCATGTCCGTGCCTTAGGAGTAAGTCCTGGCCTCAGCAACCAACTGGTGAAGGAGGATGAGAACGGACAACTTGCCCAAAATTTAGCAAAGAAGAGATCATTAGAAACTTAGGGAAGAACTGTATTATTGGAGCATGGGGGATAGAAACCAGATTGGACAGGGTCTAGAATAGAATTGAAGGAAAGAGACACGAGACAGCAGTTGTAGCTGACAGGCTCAAAAGAATTTAGCTTTGTTTCAAGTGTCATTATCCTCAACTGCTCCATTTACTCTCTGGTAGCAAAAGGGAGTTCAGGAGAGGGAGTTGGAGATAAGGTGGTAGGCAGAAATTAAAAAAATAAAGCTGACAAAGATAACAATGGAAAATGGATGGGGGGGGGGAGAAAAGAGGAAAATGGTGATCAGAGAAGATTCAGATAAACTTCAGGGGCATCAGACTTTTCAGGGTTTTATCAGAATCTAATGGTTTGAGAGTTTATGACCTATCACTATGACTACAATTTGGGCACAGAACTTTTTAAATAAATTTCACAGCAGGTGTGGGTTTAAAAAAAAAGTGATGGAAAGACAGATCCTGGAATGGGAGGTGCTGAAAGGTGAGGCCTGGGTGGTGGAGTTGGAGAGTGAGCCAACACTGTATTCACTAGGGTTACCATATTTTGAGCCTCCAAAAGGAAGACACTCCACAGGGCCCCGCCCCCGCCCCAACTCCGCCCCTTCCCAAAGTCCCCGCCCCAACTCCGCCCCCTCCCCTGCTTCCCGCGAACATTTGATTCGCGGGAAGCCTGAAGCAGGTAAGGGGGATGTGGGCGGAGGAGGCGCGGCCCAGTCTGGCCCCCCAGCGTCTCCAGCCTGGGTCGGCTCGGGCTCTGGGGTGCCGGCCCCAGGCCAGCCCCCGGCCGAGCACCCCCAGCCTGCCCAGCACTGCCGGTCCCCGGCCCGGCCCCCGGCCGAGCACCCCCGGCCCGCCCAGCACTGCCGGTCCCCGGCCCCGCCCCC